GACGCAAAGGCACATTACCATCAAATTGTTCAAATGTATTGATAAAAGAGACCATTTTTAAAGCAGCCATAGGAAAAAAAATGATATTATTTGTGCATGTAGATACAAAGATCAATATGATAGCAGATTTCTATCTTAAGAGAGTAGAAAAAGAAAAGCAAATTAAACCCAAACCAAGCAGAATACAATAAATAATAAAAAGCAGAATGAAATAAATAAAATAGAAAACAGAAACCACATAAAGAAATTCAATGAAACCAAAAGCTAATTAAGACAATAAAATTGAGAAACCTGTAGCCTAATCAAAAAAAAAGATATAAATTACCAATAAAGAGAGTGGATACGCTAGGATTCCTATAATCCCAGCACTTTGGGAGGCCAAGGCAGGAGGATTGCTTGAGGACAGGAGTTTGAGATCAGCCTAGGTAACACAGTGAGACCTGATCTCTACAAAAAATACAAAAATTATCCAGGAATGGTGGCACACACCTGTACTCCCAGCTACTTGGAAGACTAAGGCAAGAGGATCACTTGAGCCTAGGAGTTTGAGGGTGTAGTGAGCTATGATCACACAGCTACTCTACAGCCTGGGCAACAGAGTGAGACCTTATCTCTAAAAACAAAGAGAGAGGTAACATCATTACACATTCTAAGCACTTTACAAAAAGATACCCAATGGCAAATAAGTACATAAAGAGATGTTCAACATCAGTAGTCATTAGTTATGAGGGGAATACAAATTAAAACCACAATGAGATACACTGCACATCCACTAGAATAGCCAAAATTAAGACTTACCACTCCAAGTTCTTGCAAGAATGTAGAAAAATTGGAACTCTTAAACACTGTTGGTGGCAATATAAAATGGTACAACCACTTTGGAAGACAGTTTGGCAGTTTCTTAATATTTAAACAGTTACCGTATGATCTAGCTATTGCTCTCCTAGATACTTATCCAAGCAAAAGGAAAGCATGTGTCAATACAAAGACTTGAACATGAATGTTCAGAGAAGTGTTGTTTGTAATAGACAAAACTCGGAAATATAAATGTTTACCAACAGGAGAATGGAAAAACAAATTGTGGTATCCGCCAATAGCATATTATCCAATTTTAGGAATGAACTATTGATATATGCAACACGAATAAAGCTCACAATAATTAAGCTGAGTGAAAGGGGCCAGACCAAAAGAAGAGTGCATAATGTATGATCACATTTATATCAAACTCTAGAAAACGCAAATTACAGTTGACTCTTGAACAACACGAGTTTGAACTGCATGGGTCCACTTATATGTGGATTTTTTTCAACCAAACACAAATCAAAAGTACAGCATTGACAGGATTCAAAACCCACTTATATGGAGGACAGACTTTTCGTAAATGTGAGTTCTGCAGGGCCAACTGCAGGGCCTTGAATATGTATGGATTTCAGTATACGCAGGGGTCCTGGAACCAGTCCCCCACATATACCAAGGGACAACTGTAGCCTATAATGAAAGAAAACAGATATGTGGTTGTCCGGGGATAAGGGGTAGAGTGTAGAAGCACGAGAAGGCCAGGAGGGAGAGATTATGAAAGGGCACCAAGAAACTTGTAGGGGTGATAGTTTAATGAGAATATGCACATTTCAAAACTTACCAAAATGTACACTTCATATATCTGCAGTTCATGATATAATTATACCTTAAAGTTTAAAAAAAAAACAAACCCTCAAAAGGGAGTAATAAAGAAAATTTAAAAGCAGACTGCAATCCCTGAATGTGCCA